TCACTTATTCCTATCATTTATTTTTGAACTCTTTGGAATGTTCCCAAGTGAGTTGGTACCATGAAAATTTTTTACATTTTCAAAACAAATTTTTGTTCATTCTAAGAAAAAAAAAAGTATGGCACATTTAGCTGTGGACCGTGATCACAAAGGTAGGGTGCTGTAGCTCTAAAGAGTTTGAGTACCACTACTCCAGTAATTGTACTAGAAGGAACTGGACAGATGATGAGTTCTGAATGTTAACCCTTCATGTTGGTCACTTAGCTTGGACCCAAAGAGCTTCGGGTTGGTCACTTAGCTCGGACCCAAATATATCTAGTGATCTCTTCATCAAACTTCACTGAAAATGAAAATGACTCTTCACTTTGGTCCCATCATGAAGAAACAGTTAAAACAGACTGTCTATCCTTCAAGGTGCCCATTGCACAAATTTTCCCAGAGAGATCACAGAAGTTGATTTTATAGGCCACAAATTCTTAGCAGAGTGTCCTGCAGCTATGTTGAAGTAGTAAAACTCAACAAGTGCTCTAAACCGATGTAGTAGGAAAATATTTGCCATGCTCTGGTAGGTTTCATCAGTAAATCACCTATAGATGATATAAGGAGTGAACTCCAAAGTCATATATTCCTCATATATGTGCTGCTAAAATTGTGTTGAAATTTGTCCCCGAGATTTGTGCTGTCCTTTAGAAACTACGGTAGTGAAAAATAGCACAAGATTCTCAGTCTTAAGGATCATCACAATCCATTTGAAAATCTTACTTGAATTCTAGTCCACTCACTATGGTTTACTTTAATATTATTAGTTAATGAAACATAAAATATGACCATTTGGGGTCGGGCACGATGGCTCACGCCTGTAATCCCAGCACTTTGGGAGGCCAAGGCGGGTGAATCACAAGGTCAGGAGTTCAAGACCAGTCTGGCCACATAGTGAAATCCGTATCTACTAAAAATACAAAAACTTAACCAGGTGTGGTGGTGTGTGCCTGTAATCCCAACTACTTGGGAGCCTGAGGCAGGAGAATCACGTGAACCCGGGAGGCGCAGATTGCAGTGAGCAGAGATCGAACCATTGCACTCCAGCCTGGGCAGGAGTGCGAGACAGGGTCTCAAACAAAACAAAACAAAACAAAAACCATTTCTGTGACAATTTTCAAAAAGAACTTCACTAAATACTAAAGAGAATGAAAAGCAAATTAACAAAAGATTATAATTGCCATGAATACTTGAAAGTGACAGCAGATCATTTTGCTTCTGAATTTTTATTGCATAAGAACTTTTTGTTATTTTACTTAGTCATTTGAGCTACACTAATCCATTTTCTCTCAGAAAACAATATGATAAATGGAGTACATCAATATTATAAAATATCGGCACTGAAAATTATAAAAATGAAGCCAAAAGTAAACTTTGACATGAAATGTGAATTTTTAAAAACGTCTAATATAGATGGAATAAGAAATAGTATGAAATCTACATGTTTTTATAGAATATATAAAAGTTTATACTAAATATATATAACTTTTCATGAGTAATACATTTCATAGTATTACATAGAATACTATCTGGTTATACAGTTGCTGCTTTCCACCAAATTAATGAATGACTATGACGTGGTATATATTTAAGAAGTAGCATTATGTAGTGGAAAGAACTGCTTTGAGAGCAAGCACATCAGTGCTAGATATGACCACTTTCTAGTGGTATGATAATGGGCAAATTGCTTTATCTCTATGAGGTTACTGTGAGGATTAAATAAGATAATATGTGCAAAATACTTGATTCAGAGTCAGCCTCCAGCAATCAACAATGTGTATCTCATTTGCAACCCTCTCTTATGCTGCATGGCCATTTATTTCATTTTTTTAGATATTAACAGCTAACCAACACAGCTGATGGTTTCGGCAGACACATATTTTTAGAACAATGTCATACAGTCTTCAGTGAATATCACAATCTATGCATGAACATGGCATATCTGTCAAAGATACACATTTTTTTCAGAGCATGTTTGTTTGTTCATTAATCAAAAAAAAAAAAATTAAGACCAAACTGTTAGTAGTTTTTGAAGTTAATGCTTTGATTTCTATCATTTCTATTTTTTACAGCCTATTAACTCATTTATTTCAAAAAATTGTATAAACAAAATTTAATAAAATATTTTGATTTTAATAACTTCTAGAAGATACCTTCATATAATTAAACAATATTTGTAAGCTATTAGGAAGGGATGTATAAGTAAAATGCATTGAACGAGTTGTCAATTAAAATCATTTTACAATTCAATGCTTGACTTAAAGCTAATTAATACTGCTATAGAAAAGTAGATAAAGTTTCAAGTAAAACTATCTAGAAGAAAGTAACACTCAGATACAAAGATACAGTGAACTCTAAGTTAGTTTTATTTACCTCAAAAGTCCCAGGATAGAACACTGAATTCAGAATAACGTTGTGGATGAAGTTCTCAGTGTCTGCTTATTCTTTAAAATCATGATAAAGAGTTTTTCTGATCTTTCAACACTCCAATCATTTTTGCTCCAGCAATACTTTTCTAGTTCTTAAAATACTCTGTGGAATTTACAATAAGGTTAAACACAACATCTGTCTTTGAGGTCTTCCTTGGGCAGAAGAAGAAATGTAAAAATATTAATTTTATATATTATGGCCTGAAGAAAGCCTAACAGCCAAAACATCACCTTTAACTCAGTTTCTATTTTTGAGTAGTTTATCAACTAAGCCCCTCCTTTATTCTTTGGTCTAAAAACCGGTATGGGATTCACTGTCAGTATTTTAAATATATTCTGGCTTTTTGGGGTCTCATTATAAAGTCTCTCAATATTACAAACCCCTTTTCCTCCTCATTGTACAACAGCAAATGAATGCTAATCCAGTTGCAGAAGAGATGGTGCAACTGGCTATTTATTTAGGTTCAAAATTTAACATTCACTTTTATGGTATGTGTATTTTTAAACCATTCATTTGAAAAGAATATCCTACCTATATTAAGTAATAAACTGGGTCATAACCATATAGATACTCATTAATTCACAACTTGTCCTAAACCTGGGATTGTTGTAAAGGCGAATGCACAGAGTGCAGTTGGTTTAGAAGTACAAACTTGAAGGCCAGGCACAGTGGTGCATGCCTGTAATCCCAGCACTTTGGGAGGCCGAGGTGGGTAGATCACCTGAGGCCAGGAGTTCACAACCAGCCTGACTCACATGATGAAACCCCGCCGCCTCTACTAAATACAAAAACAATAGCCGGGCATGGTAGCACATGCCTGTAATCCGAGCTACTTGGGAGGCTGAGACAGGAGAATCACTTGTACCTGGGAAGCAGCGGTTGCAGTGAGCCGAGATTGTGCCATTTCACTCCAGCCTAGGCAACAAGAGAAAAACTCTGTCTCAAAATTTTAAAAAAAGGTACAAACTTGGTGCTTCACAATCTCCATATTCTGCCACCAATCAGTAACTAAAACAAAATCTGGCTTAAATGACAAGAAACTTCAAACAATCAAGAGATTCTAAATTGTTTATGCCTTTACATTTATTATTTTTTCTATCTACATTATGGCTTAAAAGTACTTGAAAAAAAAAAAAAACAAGAAAATGAATAAGTGGCTATGAAGGTACAAAACTCTCTTATACATTCATTTTAGATGTGCCTTTTTTCACTGATTCCATTGTTTTGATTTGGGGTTTGGGCATCAGTTTGTTTATTCGTTGGTTGGTTAGTTGGTCGGTTGGATAGTTTCCTCCAGCCCAAATTACTCAACTCAGACCAAATGCTCAGAGCTGTTTGTCAGAAAAACAAATTTATAGCCATTAATTTTCAATATTTAAGTGTTATATTAATGTTTAATGAAATATTCCCTCAAATTCAAGCCCCTGGATGCATTTGAGTCCAATTTTAATATGTAAGAGCACTAAGAAAACCACTCATTTTCCCCTAAAATATTTTATCATGAGGTACTGGGTAACCAGATCTTTTAAATTTTTTCACAACAAAGTAAATGTTATTGCCAACAAGTCTGTCTTGAAGATTCCATTTGAACACTATTTATATATCAGGCTATGGATATCTGGGCAAAAATTTTAGTTAAAGTACTTTAGAAATCCAGATCACAATTCAAGAAACAGGTTGTATCAGTCAGTATCCAATCATGAGACAGAATCCACATGAGTTACTTGAAAAAAAAATGTAATATGAAGAACCATTAGATATTAACAGATGGTATGGAATTGTTGGATATCCATGTGCGAAAAATAAACTGATTCATGCCTAACACTGCAAACAAATGCAAAAACAAAATGAAGGATAGACCAAAAAGGAAAACCTAAAACTATAAAAATTCTAGAAGAAAACATAGGAGAAAATATTTGTAAACTTAGGTTAGGCAAAGATCTCATAGATATAAAAGTGATGTGTTAAAGAAAAAACTGGTACTTCATCAAAGTTAAAGACTTTTACTCTTCAAAAGATATGTTCAAGAGAATACAAAAAAAAAAAAAAAAAGCTACAGGCTAGGAGAGCATATTGGCAAATCACATGTATTTGACAAAGAACTTGTACCCAAAATAAATAGGTCAAAAACCAAAACTCCTTAACATTATAACCAACAATCTATCTTTTTAAATGTGCAAAAGATTTGAACAATCACTTTACCAAAGATGATATATAAATGTCACTAAAGCACATACAAAGAAAATTTTCAAAAGTGATGGATATATTGATGATCTTGATTGTGATGATGGCTTCCTCAATCATTAAGAAAATGCAGATGAAAACCACGACGAGATACCACTACATACCTATTAGAATGTCTAAACTTAAAAAGGGCCAGGCCCAGTGGTTTACACCTATAATCCCAGCACTTTGAGAGGCTGAGGTGGGCAGATTATTTGAGGCCAGGAGTTCAAGACCAGCCTGACCAACACTGTAAAACCCCGTCTCTACTAAAAATACAAAAATTAGCCGGGTGTTGTGGCTCATACCCGTAATCCCAGCTACTCCGGTGGCTGAAGCAGAAGAATCACTTGAACCTCCAGGAGGCGGTGGTTGCAGTGAGCCAAGATTGCGCCACTGCACTCCAGGCTGGGCAACAAAGTGAGACCCTGTCTCACAAAAACAAAACAAAGTTAAATTAAATTAAAAGACTGGACATACTGTGGTACTGAGGATGTGAACCTAGAGGTCTCATATAATACAGTACAACTTTTTTTTTTTTCCTCATTTCAAGTTTTAATCAAAGCTTGTATATAAGGTTACTTTATTCCTGCATCTTCTCAATTGTTTCTTCCTTGTATTTTGCCTTTTCCTTTCCTACTTGGCAAGATTTGGCTTTCTGTTCAAGGATCTTTTTGCGGTCTTTGTCCAGTTTTAGCCTAGTGATAACCACCTTGCTGGGGTGAATGCCTACATGGACAGTTGTGCCATTAGCCTTTTCCCGCTGCACCTGTTCAATGTAGATTACGTATTTCTTCCTGTAAACCTGGACTACTTTGCCAATCTGCTGACCTTTATAGTGTCCTCGTACAACCTGAACTTCATCATCCTTTCGGATCGGCATGGGTCGCACGCTGTACTTCTGTCTCAGCTCTTTGGAAAGAGGGGAGGACATAATCTTCCTGCGAATGTGGGAAGGTGCATTGAGATGCCTTTTGCGATTCTTGCTTCGGTCGGAAGTCACAAAAGGATTGAACTTCATTTTGGACCCGCTTGCCCGCCGACTCCAGCTCCCCTACAGTACAACTTTTAAAAATGTTTGGTGGTTTCTTAAAAAATTAAACATACAACTACCATATAGTCTAACCTTTCCACTCCTAGGTATTTACCCAGGAGAAATGAAAGCCTATGTTCATGGAGACTTTAATTGTTAAAAACTGGAAATAATCCAAATCTCCATCAATAAGTGAATGGATAAGCAAATTATGGTTATCCATACACTGTAAGGCTACTCAGAAATGAAAAGGACTGAACTACTGATGCACTGAACAACATGGATGAATTATAAAATAAGTATGCTGAGTGAAAGAAGCTAGGCCAAACACAAAGAGTACATATTGTGTGATCAAATTTATATAGAATTCTAGAAAACACAAACTAACCTATACTTAGGAAGATTAGAAGTTACCTGAGTAGCGAGACTAGCAAAAAATACAGTCTGGATGGTTAAAGGTGACCCCAAGAAACCAAATGGCAAGATGTCTGCTTATGCCTTCTTTGTGCAGACATGCAGAGAAGGACATAAGAAGAAAAACCCAGAGGTCCCTGTCAGTTTTGCAGAATTTTCCAAGAAATGCTCTGAGAGGTGGAAGACAATGTACAGGAAAGAAAAATCTAAATTTGATGAAATGGCAAAGGTGGATAAAGTGCGCTATGATCGGGAAATGAAGAATTATGGACCAACTAAGGGAGGCAAGAAGAAGGATCCTAATGCCCCCAAAAGACCACCGTCTGGCTTCTTCCTGTTCTGCTCAGAATTCCTCCCCAAGATCAAATCCACAAACCCTGGCATCTCTAGTGGAGACGTGGCAAAAAAGCTGGGTGAGATGTGGAATAACCTAAATAACAGTGAAAAGCAGTCTTACATCACTAAGTTTGCAAAGCTGAAAGATAAGTATGAGAAGGATGTTGCTGACTATAAGTTGAAAGGGAAAGTTTGATGATGCAAAGGGTCCCAATAAAGTTGCCTGGAAAAAGGTGGAAGAGGAAGATGAAGAAGATGAGGAGGAAGAGGAGAAGGAGGAGGAGGAGTAAAAAAACTGTTTATCTGAAAAAAAAAAAAAAAAAAAAAAAAAAAAAAAAAAGTTACCTGAGTAACTTGCAGAAAGCAGGGAGAGGCAGGAGGGCCAAATTATAAAGGGGCAAAAGGAAATTCTTTGGAGTTACAAATATGTTCATTTTCTTAATTGTGACTGTGTTGAAACTATCCAACAGGGTCAGGAGACCATGTCTGGAACTCAGGGGATTCTTTGGGCACTTCTTAGGGCTAGCATGTCCAGTAGTAAAAGTTAATAAAAAGCTACAATTGGAAAAGGGCAGAATTCAGACCCATCACAAATGAAAATTTGGATAAAGGACTTTGACCAGCTGAGGTCCTGGCTGAGAGAGGGAAAAGGAAACATGGAAAAGATAATGAGAGAAGGAAGTCATAACTATCAGCTACTGTCTCTGATCAGTTACAGAAATTAAAACAAATTGGCTCGGCACATTTTTTTCCTTCCTTTGATAATTTGGGAATTATCACTGTAGCCCATTGGTTAAGTGAATTGAGAAGCCCAAAAAAGGTGAAATTCTCATCTTTTAATTTAATGAAACCATATGGATCCTCTGAGGAAGACCTTCCTTCTTTAGAAAGCGTGGACTCCAAACTCAAGTTTTGGTTTCTGTTTGTGGAAACAGAAAGCAAAAATTCTGGATGTGAGTTTTAAATGTAATTGTAAGAGGAGACACTACTACTTCCAACCCTGAATTCTCAGACCCATATATTCTGGCTATGGAGGTAAAGCATCATATTTTGATCTTTGATTCAAAGCGCATACTGCATTCCCTAAGGTAAAGCCCCATTCTTCAGGGTGTTATCTCTCATCTGAAGTCTAACTTAGTCTTCAGCAGGCAATTCTACTTTTATTGGGCCAACTGTTTTTAGATGATGGGATATATGGTAAGACCATTAATCCTTGGACATCCCTGCAATTATAATGCCATGAAATGATTTCCTTTTGATAGGAAGAATGTTGTAGAGGACACCATGACCATGAATACCATGAAGGCATTCTCCAAGACCAGGTTTGATAGTGCTGGCAGGGAAACTAAATCTATGCCTAGAATGCATTTCCTATTCCAGTGGGGACAAAATTAGAAACAAAACTGAGTCCTTGGGGAGAACCAGCCACCCTGGTTCTGACTGATGACTGTTACTTCCATCTGATGCTAGCATATTAAGCAATCAGCAGTAGTGGTAACGAGATCAGCCTTAGAGAAGGGAAGTTGTTGAGTCCATGTTGAGCTTCCATTCCTGCCACCCATGGCCACTTAGTATATCAACTGATTGAGTAAGAACCAGGATGGCTAGGGAAAGTGGCTGTCTGACATCCAAACAATAAATGAGTAAATCTAACTACTTGATTACTGAGTGTTCTGTGCAGTGGATAATTTTTTATGAGCATTCATGTGGGACATAAATATCTTTATACCCTGTAACTATTCTGAAAGGTACCATTTCCCCAGACTTCCTTGTCCAGTTCTTTCTGAGTCTCTGATCATCTGATCAAACCATTTTCAACTGCTCATAAATTCGTGTAGATATGTATCCTATGGGTGCAATTGTGTTCCCTCAAAATTAGTATGTTGAAGTCCTAAGCCCCAGTACCTCAGAATGTAACTGCATTTGGAGATAGGGCCCTTAAAGATATAATTAAGGTAAACTAAGTTCGTATGAGTGGGCTCTAACCCAATATTACTGGTGTTGTTATAAGATGAGGAGATTAGGAAAAAGACAAACACAAAGGAAAGACCATATAAATATACAGGGAGAAGATAGCTATCTGTCAGCCATGGAGAGAGACCTTGAAGAAACCAATGCTATTGTCACCTCCATCCCAGACTTCTAGTCTGCAGAATTGTGAGGAAATAAATTTCTACTGTTTAAGCTACCCAGTCTGCAGTACTTCATTATGGCAGCCTTAATAAACTACATCAGTGTAGTTCTACTCATCTCTCAAGTCAGACAAAAGAGATAGCCAAATGGACAGCTTGAAATGCTACCTACTAGAAAGATTGCCTTTCATAAAATATTCCTGTAGATCACAACATTCTAATTACCACTATGTTGCTGCAGCCCTTTGCAACAAATGTGCTCTATCTGTTTTTGGAAATTAAGTCCTGCCATTTGACCTAGAAAAGACAATCACCAGAAAGCTGTTCAAGGATGCAGGTGCTCCTTTCACTAATGCACTTCTCTAAGCCTTTGTAAAGCGTGTGTCCTCTGGGCTGTCTGAGGTGATGTAGTTAGGTGATAGCTATGCACAACAGGTATGGTAAGTCCACTCCAGTATTCCTATATCCATAAACCTTTGGCTTCTACTATTCCAAATAAATTCTGGCATATTTTCATCATTATATATAGGCCACCATTGAGTCTAAGTTTTAGTCAACCAAATAAATTGTTAGAGTCACTTCCAGCTGCACAAGCTAATGCATTAAATTCAGAATCTCTGGTAAGAGTATCCATATCAATAAGTGTGGCCTAACCCAATGTTATAGTGCTTCGTCCTTGGTCCAATACCCTTAAGAATTCATTCCTGCCTGTATTTCCCAGATTTCTTCCAACACATATTAGCAAAATTCTGCAGTTCTCTTGGTGCATGTGCTATTTCCTTCTTGGTGAAACTTTAGAGTTGTACTCCTGGAACATACTGAGATATGACCCTAGCAATGAGTCTAGTGACAACAAAGAATGATTGGGGTGGGTCTTGAAAAGAAAGGTCATTCCCTTGCAAAGCAACTGCCCTGGGTAGGGTTATCAGAGGATTTTCAATCAGGAGATGCCTACTCTTAAGACATGAAAAGACAACAGGAAATAAGGTTATTTTAAGGCTAACATAGAAGCTCTCAGGTTCTCTCGCCATGTTTTAAACCAAGAGTTAGAAACCTGTGCTTCTCATTTGCTTTCTATAAATGTTCCAGGTTATTCAAAAAAATCCATCCCATACCAAGGTCCTTTTAGTTATTAGCAAAGCCACAATGGCCAAGAGTGGCATTTGCTTAGTCTCTCAAAATGCTTGTTTCAGAAGATACTTAATTACAGTCAACTATAGGTGATAATTTAGTTAATTTTGATGCTACTACATGCCATGGATTACTAGTATTTCATATCCTATTGGTATAAAGTTCACCATTTTATTCAAGCCTAAGGACATGTCCAAACCAACCCCAAATCCCATTTTTATAAAATACCCTGAAAATCATTCCACTTTATTTAGTATATATCCAACTTATTTTCTAATCTGTAAAACGTGATTGATGCCAAT